GGGCAGGACAGTGTCAGCGTGGGCCGCACACTGGCACGCTGCCTGGTCAGAGTAGGTGCGCAGTGAGTGCCCGATGAAAGAGAAAGTGGGGAGCATTCAGCTGCATTAAGAACTCATGGGTGCTGCCCAGCCATTCCCAGGGCTTCCTAGCGGCCGGCAGAAAAGCCCACTCCTCTCTGAGACTCAGACTCCCCATGAAAGTAAAAATTGCCAGAAAGCAAGGAAGAGAATTAATAACGTTGCCCCAGAACTCAGCCTGGAGAGGCAGTGGGGGCAGCACACGGCGTTATGTCCCTGGCCCTCTGCACAAGTCCCATCCGCGAGTCCACCCCACTGCGGTGGCTCCTGTGTGCCAGGCCCTGTGCGGGGCTGGGATCCTGAGGGGAGCATGGTGCCGCTCCCTCCCATGCTGAGAGCTACACTGGAGGCTGAGGAGCTCCCCGGCCCAGGGCCAGAGGCAGGAGAGGAAGGGCAGACAAAAGAGAAAGGCAGGAACTCCAGGAGAGATGAGAGCCGAGGCCCAGAGAAGCCGTGTAACTTGTCCAGATTCACCCAGCCAGCGGGGGAGCTGGGACTCAGGCACCGGTGGTTGGCCTCGTCCCCACTCTACGCTGCTATCACAGTCAGTGGGCACCTGCAGTGCTTCCAGGAAAGCAAATACTCATTCGTAGTAACTAAAGCCCAGGTGAGGAGGAAGGCAAGTAGCAGAAGACGGAGCCAAAAATCAGGCTAAGCTGGATCTAAGGGCCTCGGGGCCATTCCGGGCTTTGGGCTTAGCTCCCGGTCTGGGACCTCAGGCGCTCTGTCACCCGAATGCCTGCTGGTTCAGCACAACAAGCTGGCCCCTGGGTGGAGCAGAGACCAGGAGGCAGGTGTGGGGTGGGGGTTGGGGTGGGCGCATGCCAAACTGGGCAGTGCAGGTCATGGCGGGGCTCAGTAGAGGGGGTGTGGTTAGCACCTGACTGTCCCTGAAGAGGAGGAAGTCCGTAGGGACCCAGGGGCTCTGGTCTGGGTGGGCGGTGGTGCTGTCAGTGAGACTGCCCAGGGGAGGAGGAGCGTAGATGACAAGTGTGGTGGTGAATGGTGTACACACATCCTGCCCAGAACCCTTGCCAGCTCAGTGTGGTGCTTGCACCAAGAAGGTGCCCAGCAGACGCTGCCATGAGTGAGCTGAGCGGCCCCCCTGTGCCTCCCCTCACATGAAGGCAGAGAACTCTCCTCCCAGGGGCTCCTGACCCCTGCACCATCCGCTGGTCCTTTCCCGGGTCCCAGCGCAGAAACCTCTCGGTATCCTGACAAAGAAATGTCCTGCAGTTACTCTACACTCCCCGCCTGCTTTTCTCCTGTCTGCTGCCTGCTGTCTGTCAGGACTCTGGCTAATCCTTCTCCCGTATGACATGAGCAACTTTTTGGCAAAGTTCCTTTTCTATAAATGGGAGGTTCCTGAAATGACATGGCATGGGTGACCTGCCATGTGTCCTCTTTGGTAAGAAGGCCAGCCTCAGCCTCTGCAGGGTATCCTAGCTAATCGGCTATGGGCTCTGGTTTTGAAAATGTAGCTAATATTCCACAGAAAATCAACCCAGCTTCTATAGAGTCTGATACTGTTGAATCAACTCTATGCAAATAGCTGTTGAAATAGCTCTTTGGGGTCAGGTCTCTCCCCACCCACTCTGTCCTCCTCTCAGTCCCCTCCCCACCCCCCTGCTCGTTCTGCTGACGGGGGGGCCCCCTCCGCACAGTGGGCGAAAGCCATGAGCCCCTGGCCCAGAAGCATCTTGCCGGGGGTGTATTGGCAGAAGGTTGTCCCCCTGGTAAGTAATAGGGACACTTACCCACGTGGCAGGGACCTCGCAGTCATCTCATCCAGCACCACCATTTTACAGATTAAGAAACTGCGGCTTAGAGAGGAGAAGCGTCTGGCACACAGTCACGTGGTTAGTGAGGGGCACAGCCAGGCCTGCTGACTTCCACCCTCCCAAGACCTTCCGGTGACCCATTCCAACAGTTCACAACTTTTACTTTTCCTGTGCAGAGGAGAGACTTTTTTCTAAAGAGCTGACTGAGTCCCAAGCAGGAAACGCCTGGACTTGAACTCCTCTTGCTCCTGGTGGCAAATACCACTTGGTATCCCCTGCAGACACTAACTTCTTCGCCAGAGGTGATGCCCCAGCGGAGGGAGGGATCCCCAATGACTCGCTCACTTCCTAATTTCTTCTGACCCTGCTGCCACCTGGCTGACCTGCAGGCTCCAGCCCTCTCTGCGACTGGCAAGCTGTGGGCGAGAGCAGCCCTCCCACAGTGCGATCAGCACTGCTCTTCTCCTGGGGCTGCGTTTCTCAGAGTCCCCCACTCCTTCCTGGGGAGCCAGGATTTTTTCCTTTCTTGCATAATTTGATTTTCATCCCTTTGGACTGAAAATTCTGCTCCTCATATTTTCACCTTCTGCACCAAAGCTCCTACCAAAGCAAACGCCCTGACACAGCCAGAGCAGGCTGGAGCTCAAGTCCTGGACAAATGTCAGAAGCTCTCCCAACACCTGCCCCCAGGCCAAGGGGCCCAAAGCTTCCAGGAAGCCATGTGGTCTGTGAGATTCAGCACAGCGCCACCTCCTGGGGGAGAGGGGCAGGACACTGTGACCCTCCATTAAACCTGACATCTACACAGTGAGTGGTTCTCAACTGGAACCACCTGGAAACTTAATAAAATATTCATGTCCCACTCCCAGCGATTTCCCCTGGCCGGGGTGTGGCTGGGGTTTTGCAGAGCTCCCAGGTGACTGTGCAGCCAGGCTGAGAATCACTGCCTTAGAGGTGGAGGAGGCCTCGCTGCATGGTACAGACTGGGCTCCAGCACCCAAATCTGAATGCATTATTTTAAATGGATGACCATTTCTCCGGGCAAAGCACCCATAGTTTGTTGTTGTTTTTTATCATATTCTCAGTGGGCTCCATGCCCCCAACCAATTAAGTGTCCCCAGTCCAGTCCAAATGTGCCCCCTAAGGAGGTGCCAGGCCCAATGTTCAGCCGTGGGGCTGACAAGCCTAATGGATAATGGATAGTGTGCAGACTTCTATAAAGAGCCTACAGCAATTACAAATTAGATCAACCTGATGTGGTCACGTGGACTGTTTCATGCTGCTCAGAATCGCTTCCTGGCACTATCATGTGCCTTTGATTAATAAAAAATGAGAAATGAATTATTACTTAATGCACTGGGTTTGGTAGGCAAAAATCTTCAAAATGTAAGATCCATGGAACAAAGTAATCAAGGGGATCCTTGGTGATTATAGGTTGGCAACTACCGGTCTAATATAATGCCCTAGAGATGAAGAAACTTTGGCCCAGCGAGGGTATGGGACTGGCTTTAGGTCACACAGCTAGTTGTGCAGAGTTAGGGCCCTTCCCCTTAGGCATGCTGCTGAAGCAGAAAGGAAAGGTGCAGGGCATTTTGCTGGAAACTCGCACTTAACACAATTCCATAGACCGGACTCGGGAAATGCCTCACTGGCCATGGGGTTGTGTGGGCCAGAGATAGCGTACACTCACCGAGAATTTACAAACCTAGTGTAGTCTGGGATCACCAACTACTGGGAGACACCATCAACTGTGAGAGACATCATTGTTTCCTGTACCACTAAAAAAAAGTCCTGCCCAGTATAACTGTACGATGCCATTAATCCCAAGATGCATATCAATGTTAGATATGTAAAATGTGAGAAAAAAATGGAACTGAAGCGTCTCACACTAGGCTCTCCTGCTCCGTTCAGAGCTGCACGGCTGTGAGCTCTTCCACCTGGTTCTCTTACCTGCTGGAGGTGCTAAGGGGGATGAAACGGCACTTTGAAGAACACTGATTACTTAAAAAGCAGAAATTAGTAGCAGAGCAGGCGCAGCCCAAGCTATGGGACCCACGGACAAAGTCCTGGATCTACCCTCAGAAGACCTTGGTTTGAATCTCAATTCTGAAACTTCCCAAGGTTGTCATCTTGAGCATGTTCTATTCTCTCCAAGCCTCAATCTCTTCCTCTGCAAACAAAAATGTGTCCTCCTCCCCCCCCCCCCCCCGATATCCTCACAGAACCATTGCAGCGCTCAGAAGGTAAAATGGTAAGCTGAGTAATGTAGGTGCCTCGTGCATATTAATTGCTAAGAACGCCCTTCCATTTGCTCAGCTGATGCCTGTGACTCCTGAGAACAGAGAGCTGCTAGATGACAGGGTGGGTCATGCAGAGAGTCCTGGGGCTGATGGGACGCCATGCAGTCTTCATCCATCCGAGGAGGAGAACTGACCCCTAAAGGAGGCCCCCAGCTCTGTCCCAGGGACCCTTCCTAAGGAGGCACCCTGACCTGCCAGTCAGTACTGTCCTGTCCCTGCCCCTTCTCAGGGCCAAAAGGGAATCAGACAATTAGCAGGAAGAAACATCTCCTGCTCAATCCCAGAGAGACTCCAGCTGTGGGGTACCTATCCCTTCAATCCTGGAGGCTGCATCCTGAGTCTTGTCCCAGCCCCTCCTCCAATTGCCCTCCTCACCAGAGGCAGGCCCTCCGGCAATTCACTTTCCTCTGGGAGCCTCCTTTCTCCCCCTGTAGTGCAGAGGTGGAACTCCCCCCCACCCCCTCCAGGGGCAAATATAGGGATGAATGTGGACTAGGGCACAGAAGCACTGGGGGTAGGAGGGGCACAGGGTGGCTGGGCCTGGGGAGGTGAGAGGCTCACACACAGAGGTCTCCCCTCCCTCGGGGGACAGAGACTCTCGGGCAATGTGGTGAGAACCGCGGAGTGGGGAGTCCCACCTGGATTCAAAATCCGCCCCTGCAACGCAGGTGTGTGACCGTGGCCAGGTGCCCGGCCTCGCCACGCCTCCATTTCCTCACCTGTCCACTGGGACCCAGTGTCCTCCCAGGCTCTTTGAAGGACTGAATGAGGTGGAGCATGGCTCGCCGAGGGGCCACGGCGGCGCCCAGCGGCCACCCGCTCTGACTCGGGCCTCCTGCAGGTGGGGGGGGCCGCCGTCCTGGCCGTGGGTGTCTGGACGCTGGTGGAGAAGAGCGGCTACCTCAGCGTCCTGGCCTCCAGCACCTTCGCCGCCTCCGCCTACATCCTCATCTTCGCGGGCGCCCTTGTCATGGTGACCGGCTTCCTGGGCTTCGGTGCCATCATCCGGGAGGACAGGAGCTGCCTCTCCACGGTGAGTGCGGCTGCCCCACGCCCAGCACTGCGGCTGGGAGGAGGGAAACCTGGGGGGAGGGGGGCTCAGGGAGCCCAGCTGTACCGCAACCAGGCTCCTGGACTGAGAACCCCACCAGGGAGAGTGGCCCAGCCTGGAGTCCGAGGCCTCAGGAAGCTGGCGGCTGCGCTGCCCTTGGGTTGGCTGTTGCCTTGTCTCCAGGGCCTTAGGGAGAAGGGCAGTCTCAGTCCTGGCACAGCTTCTGTTCCTCCTCCTCCTCCATCTCATCTCCCCCTTCCTCTTCCCCTTCTCCTCCTCCTCCCCATCCTTCTCCTCCTCCTCCATCTCATCTCCCCCTTCCTCTTCCCCTTCTCCTCCTCCTCCCCATCCTTCTCCTCCTCCTCCATCTCATCTCCCCCTCCCCCTTCTCCTCCTCCTCCCCATCCTTCTCCTCCTCCTCCATCTCATCTCCCCCTTCCTCTTCCCCTTCTCCTCCTCCTCCCCATCCTTCTCCTCCTCCTCCATCTCATCTCCCCCTTCCTCTTCCCCTTCTCCTCCTCCTCCCCATCCTTCTCCTCCTCCTCCATCTCATCTCCCCCTCCCCCTTCCCCTTCTCCTCCTCCTCCTTCTCCTCCTCCTCCTCCTCCTCCTTCTCCTCCTCCTCCTTCTCCTCCTCCTCCTCCTTCTCCTCCTCCTCCTCCTCATCCTTCTCCTCCTCCTCCTTCTCCTCCTCCTCCTTCTCCTCCTCTTCCTTCTCCTCCTCCTCCTCCTCATCCTTCTCCTCCTCCTCCTCCTCATCCTTCTCCTCCTCCTCCTTCTCCTCCTCCTCCTTCTCCTCCTCCTCCTCCTTCTCCTCCTCTTCCTTCTCCTCCTCCTCCTCCTCATCCTTCTCCTCCTCCTCCTTCTCCTCCTCCTCCACCTCCTCTTCGTCTCTTCCTCCTCTCCTTCCAGATTTGATCGTGGTGATTTTCAAAGCCATGCAAAACTGAAAAGAATGTCATAGTGAAACTCCACATCCCATCACTCAGATTCAGCAACACTCACCTCAGAGCCAGTCCTGTTCCACCTGAACCTGGTGCCTCCCCCACCCTGACACCCCAGGCATCTGGTCATCTGTGAACATTTCAGGGTGTACTTGGAAAACCTATGGTCCTTTTTTTAGAAAATATGATGACAATACTATTATCACACCTAAAACAATTAGCAGTGCCCTGGCCAGTGTGGCTCGGCTGGCTGGGCGTTGTCCATGCAACAAACGGTTGCCGGTTCGATTCCAGGTCAAGGGTGCATGCCTGATCCGGTGCCGCTGCATCCCCGGTGGGCGCACGGAGGAGGCTGCAATCAGTATTGCGCGCTCACAGCAATGTTTCTCTCTCTCTCTCCCTCTTCCTTCCTCTCTCTCTAAAAATCAACAAACTATTCTTTTAAAAAAAAGGATTAACAGTTGTTCCTTAATATCATGAAATAGCCAAACAGTTTCAAATTTCCCCAATTGACCCATGAACTGTTCTTTTAAAAAAACAAAGTTTGTTTGAATTAGAATCTAAATTAGTCCATGTATTAAAATGGTCCATTGTCTCCTAGGTCTCTGTTAGTCTCTAAGCTCCCCCATTGATCAATCTCTCTTTTTTCTCCCTTGTGACTTATTTGTTGAAGGAACCAGGTCATATGTGCTATAGTTTCTCCCAGTCTGGCTTTTCCTGTCATGTTATTTAACGTGTTCTCCTGGCACTTGACTCTAGAAGCCTGATCGGGCTCAGGTTGGATTGTGTGGGCAAGAGCATTTCCTGGGTGGTGGTGTGTGCACCTCAGGCTCCTTGACAGGCTTTCTCCGGGGAAGCTGGCTCTCCTCACCTGGATCAGGGTGTCCAGAGAGAGGCCGGGGCGACTGCAGGGAGCAGAAGCCAGAGGTCAGTTCAGGACCTGCCAGACCAACCCTCTGACTCCTGTGCACCTGCTGCCAAGACAGCCCCGCCACCCCCACCCCACCCTCCCCCGCCCCAATCTCCTCCTAAGGCCAAGGCCAGTGTGGGCAGGGGAGGCTACCGAACATCAGCAAGGAAGGGCAGGGCCAGCGCCAATCCAGGTCTCCACGAGGAATCAGGCCGAGCCTGGAAGGAGTCAGACAGCGGGAAGAACCCCTGAAGGTTGTGCCCTCTCTACCCTTCCTCCTCGTGCCCACAGTCTCGTGCAAGAACTCCCCCCCTTGGCAAGCCTGCGGCTCTGTCACTGACAGCGCTCTGCTCTCTGCGCTGTGACTGCGGTCTCCCCTTCTTCACTCCCTTCTTACGTGACCCGTTTGCAGGACCTGTCCACCATCTAGGCCCGTGGTCGGCTAGCTGCGGCTCGCCAGCCACATGCGGCTCTTTGGCCCCTTGAGTGTGGCTCTTCCTAAGCCTTAGGAGTACCCTAATTAAGTTAATAACAATGTACCTACCTATATAGTTTAAGTTTAAAAAATTTGGCTCTCAAAAGAAATTTCAGTCATTGTACTGTTGATATTTGGCTTCGTTGACTAATGAGTTTGCTGACCACGGAGGGCTGAGCCAGTAAGGAAGCAAGAGTCTCTCCAGTCGCAGCCTGACAGGCACTCGGTCTGAGGCCTGTGTTGGGGGCCTAAGGCTGTGCCCAGGGCTGTGCAGGGAAGAATGAGACTTAAGGAGGGGCAGGGCCTCGGGCTGGCCTACAGACTGGTGCGCACCTCTCAGCCTCCGAGAGTCAGCAACAAAGGCCTTGGCAGGGCTGGGGACACAGGGACTGCTGGCCGGGGATTCCTTCCTTCTTCTCAGAGCCACTTCACTGCTGCCTGCGTTCACCTCCATCTCACCCAGAACTGAAGATTCTCTGGTCCAACATCACTAAGCAAACACATCAGAGAGGCACCAGCTCACAAGTGAGGTCAGGAAAAGTGGGTGTAGGCACACATGAGTGCACACACATGCACACACGTGCACACAGCCCAGCCCAGCAGGGTGGGGACATTGCTAGCACACCGGAAACTCCAAGCCCAGAGTCCTCTTCCCTTGCCCCCCACCGACAGACCCAAAGACAGAACTGGCCCAAGGACAGGACACGGGTGAAGCAGGGGGCCCTGAGGAATCCATGGCCTGGCCCCCCAGCCCCTGAATTATCGATCACTTTATTGTTTAAAGCGAGAAGGTGGTCGTAAGACCTTCCTTGGGCTAACACAGCAGGACTTTTAAAACTCAAGCTCCCATGTAGAGGCGAGTGGTGTGATTAAGGCAGCTTAAAAGTATTCTGTGCTTCCTGGAGGTGCCTTCTGGTCTCACTGCATCTTTCTTCAATGTGTGTCTTAACTTTCTTTTTAAATCTTTAATCAGCTAAAGGTTGGAGGGAACTCCAGAGGAGAAGTACCATGAGTCTAGCTCTGTGAGCTCGATCCAAAGTGATTATCATCCCATGCGCCGAAAGGTTGCAAGTTCGCTTCCTGGCCAGGGTACATGCCTAGGTTTCAGGTTTGATCCCCAGTCAGGGCACATACGGAAGGCAACCAATCAATATTCTCTCTCACATCGATGTCTCTCTCTCTCTCAAATCAGTAAGTATATCCTCGGTGAGGGTTCTTTAAAAAGTGGTCCCCCAGGAAAAGAGGGAAAGATGAAAGATGAGGCATATGTGGAGGTGCATCCAACTTCAGCCAGAAGGAGTGAGGGGCCTGGCATCAAAAGTTCCCAAGGACCCCCCCAGAGAAGGCGTCCAGTTCACACAGGCGCACCTCTGTCCTGCCCAGGCCCGTCCTCCCGGCACATCTGCAGTCCCTCCAAGTCACTTTCCCAAGGACATGCAACCCTGGCTGGTGCTTAAATGATGATCATTTGACGTCAGAAACCTGCAAAGGGGAGCGGGAATGCGGTTTAAATTATTCACACCAGCTCTTCTTTTTTAGGGAAGGCTGCGTGAGAAAGCAGATAGGTCGGGCCGGCTACGCCTAAGGCCGATGACCAGGACAGATGCGGCCCTGATCAAAAGAAAGGGATATTTTTAGGGTTTTGAATATGGGCTCCGAAAACTGTTGTATCTGAAGCCAGATGAAGATCATGATCGACGGCCCAGGCTAACCTGGGTCTCTGTCAGGGGCTCTTTTATATTTATGGGACAGATTAGGAAGTAAGAAGTTCTAGAACCAATTTCTGAAAATGAGGGGACCGCAAATTGCAATACTTCCATCCAGTACGTGCAGACTTAGTTCAGGGAAGTAAGGTCCTGACTCAAGAACTAGGGCTCTGGGACCGCAGGGCAGTCACGCGGCCACCCCCGGCCCCCTTGCATCCCCGTCTTTATGTGGGTGAGGGGTGAGGATGAGGAGGAAGGACTTTAGGTCCTAGGAGACGAATCACCACATTATGTAAAGATCATAAAATGTGGCTATAATTACATTTATGTCTCCAGCACAATGACCAAGCCTCTTTGATAAGAAATAGCTATTTGTAGGCTTTTACTCCCTGGGTCCTCACAGCTCCTTAGCCAGAGACAGAAAGAGACTTGCCTAAGCTCGTGGCCTGGAGCTGGCAGAGCCAGTGGACACCCAAGGCTCACTCCAAGGCTTTCTGCTGCCCCAGGCTGTCTCCCGCCCCCCCCCCCCCCCCCCCCGCCTCCCACACGGGGAACGGGATTCACCTTCCTCATGACTCAGGACCCATGGTCTGCCTGCCAGCTGAACACTGAAGCACTGAGGTGAGAGTTGGAGGTCAGTGCCCTGGCTGCCTGCCACCACATTCACTCAGAAAGGGAGGTCAAGCCCCCGGGTGCTGGCAGTGAGGCAGAAATCAGCTCTGCTACCCGCCGCGGAGTGTTTGCACCTAGTGGGGCCAAGTTCAGCTCAATGTATGCGTGGGTATCACCCACAGGGGCTTGCTGTCTCCCCACTCCCAACTGGGGCCCTGAGCAAGTCTCAGAGCAGGGCTGAGCCAGGAGGGACAGAGAGCGTGTGTGTCTGTGTCTGTGTTGCAGGAAGGCAGGGGATGGTGGGCTTACATCTCCAATCCTAGAGTTTGTTTTTCTGTCCTTCAGCCTTTCCATCCTCCAGCTTCCTTTCCTTGGCAGATTCTGGGTTCAACCGTGTAACTGGAAAGAGACAAGCTCCAGTCCCTGTCGCCTAACGAGGCACAGCGATCGGTACTCTCATCACGGAGCCTCTGGAGAGAGGGGAGCCTCAGAATAGCCGATCCAAACAGCAGGTGGTCCTTCAGCCAATTACTGGGAAGCCCACGGGTCCCTGCGGATGTCTTTCCTTCCCAGTGACATTTCATCCTGTTGATGTTAAAACGAACCTTATTGATCCTTATTGCACACACATACCCCCCCCCCCCCCCCCGCAAGGATGGCCTGGCAGTGGCTGGCAGGAGGAAATGGGTCTGGGTGGGAAACCTCCCGAGGCCCATGCAGGTGCTCGGAGGTAGCTGAGGACGGGCGGTATTACTGCTCTACTCCCACGGGCTGATGGGAGAAAGGGCATGTGGAGGCAAGTCATTCATGTAAAGACTCGCTGCCTGCCCGCTGTGGTGCTCCCCACCAGGGCGCCAGCTGCACTCCCTGCCAAGAGCCATGAGCAGCGGAGAGGGCAGGACCCACTCAGAGCTGCACGTCCCCCCACGTTGGTGGGACCATGACAGGAATGATAGCTGGACAGCTGTCTGGACGGCTCCTCTCGTGCCAGGTCCTGCACCGACGCTGGGAAGCTGTGCCTCCATCTGATGCTCAGTGCCCTGCCCCATCAAACCATACATCACACTCTCTTAGGGGAGCTTAGGATCAATTGGAAAATGAGACGTGGGAGACACAGAGATGGTGCCCAGACGTCATCGTTATTACTAATGCAGCTCTACCTCTGCAGCAGAAGCCTCAGCAGCCCTTCGGCTCTGGGTGATAAAGGACAGGCCTCGGCACCTCCCTGAGAACTGCTTCCCTGAGCTCAGTGCATGGCGTGAGCAGAGAATACGGCATCCTGAGGACAGGCTGTCCCCGAGGAGGGCAGGAGGCCTCCTGTCAAACAGATAAGAGGAGCAGCGAGCAAGGAAGGGGGAGAGGCAGGAGTGTTCCTCCAGGCGTCCCTGTTGGGAAGCAGGAGGCCTGGTGAGAGGAGGCTTGGTCCTGACACTGCACAGACAGATGGAGCAGCAGCACAAGACATTCTTCCCACCTAAGCCCCACATTTTATGCAGAAGGCCCAGAGAGGGTAAGTGATTCGCCCAGGGTCACACAGCATCTTCAGAGAGGAAAGCTGGGCCCAGACTCCCAGGCCATGGTGCCCCGTGTGACATTACTCTCTTCTTTGACCAGCACCATTCTGGGTTCAAGATCCACCTTTCTCAGGCTGCAGGAAATGTACTTTATCATTGCCCACCCATAGCAGCAAATTTTCTATACCCAGCAGTTTTTACAGCTGGTTAATTTCCACCACCTCCTCCTCTTCAACTTTCGGCAACTCATACACCATGTTACATTGATGAGGCTGCCTAGTTCATCGACCTCCACAAGCATTTCCAGAATTTTCTGCTCTGCTGGGCACAGAAGGGACTAAACCAGTTCTTGGCTTGGAGTGCAGAGAGGAAGACAAAACGCCTGTATTAAAAGACAAAGGACCGTGTGGAGGTTAAATTCCTGTTTGAACTTGGTCAGAGCTCTGACCTCTCTGAGCCCTAGGACTTCTCCTAACCTCAGGCAGGGCAGGAATTTCCCCTGCCAGCCTTCCCTTTCCTCCTATGACCAACCTATTACCATCACCATGCCCATCCTGGTGTCCCTGTTACCTACCCTGTCCTGTGTCCTACCCTGGCCCATGCTCATCCCTTCTGTTCCAGGCATGTGCACAGGTGCCTGCAGGCCGCACCACGGCTCTCCACAGGCCAGCAGGAACCTCTAGGCCAGTGGTTCTCAACCTGTGGGTCGCGACCCCTTTGGCGGTCGAACGACCCTTTTACAGGGGTCGCCTAAGACCATCCTGCATATCAGATATTTACATTACGATCCATAACAGTAACAACATTACAGTTATGAAGTAGCAACGAAAATAATTTTATGGTTGGGTCACAACATGAGGAACTGTATTTAAAGGGCCAGAAGGTGGAGAACCACTGCTCTAGGCCCTTCCGGGGGCTCATAAGAGACAGCAATCGCTCACTCCCCCCATGCCCACACCCACTGGGCAGCAGCCCCCTGGGGAGTCTGGTGACCCTCCCTCAGCCACCTGGCCAGGCCCTGCTGTCCACTCTGGAACCTGCTCTCTCAGCCCAGTCAGTCTGGACTCTTGGCAGTCCCGGCATGATATCCAGTGGACACCTGTCTCTGGCTTACAGTTCTGACACTGTGTTCTCTCCTGAACCCTCACAGTGTGATCTTTGCACCCCAACCCTTTGGCTGGGACTTTGGACCGCCTCGGATGCATTCTCTTGATGTCTCTTGAATAGTTCCTGCCTCTGTGGCTGGTTTGCTCCTCCCCTGCCCTCTTCCAAAGTCCCCATTCAGTCAACCAGCCTTCCTTGCCCAGCCTGGTCCTCTGCTCTGCTCCCAACCTTTTGGGCCAAAACTGGATATTAGCATCAGCCATTAGCCAGAGCACTCCCTAAAGCAGTGATGGCGAACCTATGACACGCGTGTCAGAGGGGACATGCGAACTCATTTTTTTTTTTGGTTGATTTTTCTTTGTTAAATGGCATTTAAATATATAAAATAAATATCAAAAATATAAGTCTTTGTTTTACTATGGTTGCAAATATCAAAAAATTTCTATATGTAACACGGCACCAGAGTTAAGTTAGGGTTTTTCAAAATGCTGACACGCCGAGCTCAAAAGGTCCACCATCACTGCCCTAATGTCTTCCCATAGAACAGCCCCAGGAGGGGTGGCTGAACCCCAGCTATGAGCCCTGGGCTGGGGCTGGAGGAGGTGGAGGTCACCTTCATCCTTCCAACAGTGACATCTTGCTGCAGGAATGGCTTGAGGCTCCCAAATCCACATCCTCTCTTTTCTGCACAAACAGGTCAGGCAGCTGCACCTCTGAGCCCTGGCTGCCTCCAGCCGGTAGTTAATTGCCAGAAAATAATGAGCCCTGAGGTCATTGCAGCTTAAACAGCTGGCCCCAGCTCTTCCTGATTGGCCTGGGTGGCTTTGAGCTCCCTGCCCGCCCTCGCCTGCCGCTGTAATCCTCTCACGCACAGTCAAGCGGGGAGCCTCCAGCTGTGCTCTCCCCGCCACTGACTTTGGCAGCATCTCAATCCTCCTTTCTTCCTGTTGCCTCACTGCCCTGAGACCACGCTGTGCCTCTCCCCCCACCCGCCTGGACACCCTGCCTCGGTTTTCTGACGGTGGCTTGGTGCCCTTCTCTAACCGTACGGAATAGTGAGACAGAGGAGGAACGCTTAGCGAAGCTCCCTTCTTTATGGCAGAATCAGTCCAATGGGGAAATTCCAAAGTCCAGTTGTATAAAGTTCTTGAAACTTACCTGAAGGTGGTGCCAGCTGGTGCCGAGCTGCCCTGTGTCACAGGCCCAGTGACAGAACCGCACCTGGGCTTGGCCTGTCCCATGCGGCAGACGGAGGTCCCTCGTCCCTCGTCCCTCTGAAGACTCGTCCGGTAATGTCACTGCGAGAAACATCCCCGCAGCCTTCCTGCAGGGCCTCTCCTTCAGGAATGCCAGTTTGGTTGAGTGCTGTGTCTGCCCCAGCTTCGTTCTGGATCTAGATTTTGTTTTAGGAAATAGCCAACTTCCAATTCAAACTGTTCCATTACAGAATTAAAGGAAAACCCCTTTTGGTAAATGGTAGAGGAGGGAGATGACTGCGTCCCACTCTGTGCTCACCAAACCGGTTCCTCCCATGTTTGGGGCCCAGTTTGGCATCCTTTGAAGTGGCATCATTCTTATCAAAGGCTCTGGGGGCAGAAGCTACAAGAGCTTCCCTTGGAATTCTCGTCCTGCTTTCTGTCCAGCCAAGACTCAGGCGGCCACTTCTGGAAGGACAGGGGCAGCCCTGAGAGCAGGGGCAGGCCCGGCACAGGGGGAGCTGGGGGGAGGGGTAGGCTCACACCCATGCACAGGGCCTGCGAAGACAGAACAAGATACGGGTCAGAGTGTCCATAGTCCCCAGAGCAGACCAGCGTGAGGCCCGCCAGTCAGATCGGTTCAAGGGTATCAGCAGTGAGGTCACAGCCAGGAGCTTCCAGCTCAGGGAGGGCTTTGGGGGCCTAGCGGGAGCTGAGGTTGGTGGCTAACAGCTGCGGGGCACAGATGCGGCCGGGGCAGCGAACCCGGGCAGGCGGCAGGGAGAGAGCAGAGGCCGGCTGTGCTCAGGCTCTGTGCGCCCCCGGGAGCGTTGTCCAGCGTGTGCAGGTAGTAACTAGACTCCGAGAGAAGTTAGGCTGGACCGAGTAAGGCAAAGGGCAGAGGGGCAGGCACAGGCTCGACATCTCTTCCTCCCACACCACAGAGGCACAGTGGTGCACCGGGAGCCTGGGGGTGACTGGCAGCCACCGCACGGAGGCTCCGGTGGCAGGATGGGAGCTGGGGATGAATGTGGAGCCAGCAGGGAGGTGCAGCCGTGTTCGAAAGGAACTATGGGTCAGGCACATCCCCAAGGTCCTGGAGTGCATGCATTAGCAGGGACACCCTCCTGGTGGGTGTCAGTGCAGCCACACACTGTCCAGTGGGCCGGGCAGCTCCCAGGAGGACAACCATCTGGCCGGGACAACCGTGCCTGCCGCTGGCTGACAAGTGCAGCTCACCTCAGGCTGTCGCTACGAGTTCTGGAGCAAAAAGCAGGCCAGATCATCGTAAAGCATAACTCCCCTCCCACTGGGTGCTCCTAGGGGTAAGCAGGACAGGATGGGCCACCCACTGGCTCAGCCCCACAGGCAGGGCCCTGCGTATGGCCCTGGAGGTTGCACCTTGTACAAGGAATCAGGGAAGGCTGAAGTCAGCTTGCCCAGCTCACTGAGCCACGTTTTTCTCATTGCAGCACATTTTTCTAATTCACACCAAGGTGTCAGAGGTCACCCGTCCAGAGCCAGCAAGTGGCAGAGCCTGGACTCACAGCCAAGTCAGCTGACATTCCACCACCATCCTCCAGTTTCCAGGCCCTGTGTTAGGCACCCAGGCTGCTTAGCAGAGAGGACCCAGCCACAGACCTCTCTCAGCCTCCTGCTCACATGGACAACATTCAGTGCCTCCCGAGGACCCAGGCACACACAGCCCCCTTCATCCAAAGCCCTCCCTGTAGCGGGAAGAATCCATGGGCCCAGGGCACATGCCCACTTGGAACCTGCCTCTGGCCTCCCCACTCGAGACCTCATCTGGGGGCCAGGAGCTTGGGATCCTGTGCAGTCAGCCTGAGCCTCCATCCAGAGCCTGCACGGAGAGCCAAGGCGGGTGCCCCCACCCTCCTCCACACCCGCCTCCTCCACACCCTCACCCAGTGGGGACCGGGCCTGGGCCTGGGGAAGTATGGGAAGAGCTGGGACATGCAGGCCCGGGCCATTCCTGGTGCAGCATAGAGCAGGGCAGGAAGGGAGGACCCAGGACAGTGACGGGCAGGCCTGGCACCAGTACTGAGACTGTAGGTTTCTCTGCTCACTCGGTGCTGGGAGACGATGAGCTCAATCCAACGGCTGAGGGAGAAGCAGCAGATTCACTTAACTTGAAAGGAAGCCTGCTCGTGGGTCAAAGGTCTTCGTCCGTGAAATGTGCTCTCCCCTGTGTTGCTTCAGTCCTGCCCTTGCCAAGCCCCCTGCTGGGCTCTGGGAGCCAGTGGGCAAGGCCTACAGGCCCATGGGCTGAAATTGCCTCTGACATGGCCAGACAGCCCCTGCCCTCCTGCTATCTCACCCTGTCAACTCTCGGGAGCCCGTGCCAGCTGTCTCCTTGCCCTCAGACCCTCCTGCCCACTTTCTTGCCACACCTGATGACCCCCGGCATCTCAGAGCTCACCCACAGGTGGGCAGTGCCTGGAGGGAGGAAGAGCATCACCAACCAGTGCCCAGGAGTAGCGGCTGTGCTTGCCCAGAAGGGGCCAATTTCAGGCAACAGCACCCCCTCTTCTTCCTCCTCTCCCCCCATGTCTTTCCTTCTTCCCTACCTGTACCTGCACCATCTCCCTCACCCTGTTCCCTCGCAGTCATGTGGGCCTGACATGCATTTCTGACCTGTTGGCTCCTCCAAGAACATACCGGGATCCAGCAGTGTCCCGAGCCTTCCTGGTGGTAAAAGCAGGTGGGGAGAGGGGCAGGATGAGGCCCGTCACAGCCCAGAGCACAGCCAGGAACCCAGCCAGCAGCGTCAGCAGGGCTGTGAAGCGTGCAGAGCAGCGAGCCGGAGCAGTCAGGCAGTGGTGAGGGGAATTTAGTACCGCTGCAATGCCCTTCCCAGGTCCCTGCCTGTGCTTTTCCAGAGCCTTGGTTGCTGCAGCCCCTACACTCCAGCCATGTCCCTGAACTCAAACACCCCATGCTTCTGCTCTCACCTCTGCCTGGCATGCACTTCCCTCCTTCTTCACCTGGCAAATGCTCACTCATCCTTAGAGGTGCCACTCAGGTGTCACCTCCTCCAGGAAGCCTTCTCTGACTGCTCTCCCATAGTTTCCAGGGCTTGCCCCATAACAGCATTTAAAACACATCATTATGATCACTTACTGTCTATCCCCCTACCACCAATAAGTTTGAAGGCAATAACCATCTTACTGATGAGGCCTGGCATATAGTAGGCATTTAGTAAGTATTGGATGTGTGGGTGGATTAACAAGCTGCCAGCAGACCAGTGAGTGAAGAGGTGAGTGCAGAACTCCGTGCCAGCAGCCAGCAGCCAGCAGCCAGCAGAGGTGGGGATGCCCAGAGCTGCTGGAAAGAGAGGAAGATGCTCTGGGGGTGGGGGTCCCTGGCAGGTGCCCCACCTCCCTCACTACTTTAAGAAAGCATTTTCATAGTGGCCCTGAAGTACCATCCACTCCCCAGCCCGATCCCAGGGTGACTGACCGTCTTCTCCCCTTGTCCCTAGTATTTCTGCCTGTTGCTGGTGATCTTCCTCGTGGAGCTGGTGGCGGGGGTCCTGGCCCACGTGTACTACCAGAGGGTGAGTGGAAGATCTTCCTTCTGCGTTGCCCATAGCGCCCCCAGGAGGCCACGCGAGGGGGAGGGTGCAGGGTGCTGGGGAAGCGAGGCACCGGCACACGGGGTGGTCCTGTCTCCCAGGCCCCAACACTCCTCGGCACATCTGGGTCCTGCTTCTCGCCCGGGTCCCAGTAACCCTCCCCTCCACCTGTGGATGTGGATGTCTTCATGGGAGCCAGGAGGGGACGCTTCCCGGGGGTGGCTGGCTCCTCTCCCCTCCTAAGGGGAAGTCACACATCCAAGGGGAAAGCAAGGCCTGGCCCAGGGCCACATGCCAGACTATGAAGACAGCACCGGCCTTGTCTGCCTGCGAGGACAAGGAGGACGGGGCCGGTCGGGTCCTCTCCCACCACGTGCCCTCTGAAGCAGGCTTCAAGGCCACGACCAGACTGATATTCGGCTGGTAGAGACAGTGACCATGCTGGTTGTTTCAAGCCAGTACCTGGAGGAGCACTGGGTGCCCACGGGATCTCATGACCAAAATGAAATTCAACAGGTATTTAAAAGCAGCCCTGGGCCTCCGAGCTGTCTCCTCCCGCACCTGCCGCTCAGCTCCTCCCACCACACCCTTATGTTAAGGCCCCAGCTTTTGCAACATCGCCTCATAACTCTGTCTGCTGTGCGCGGAGGGTCCCTTCCACTGTGTGGGAAACCACCGCACTGCACCATTGGAAGGACAGTGGTGCAGAGTAGCTGGTGGTTAGGCGCAGGCCTGGGGACCGGGGTGGGGCGCTCTGCTGACCCACCTCCCCTCCACCCTCCAGCTGAGCAATGAACTGAAGCAGCACATGACCCGGACGCTGGCTGAGAACTATGGGCAGCCTGGAGCCATGGAGATCACCACCTCCGTCGACCGTCTGCAGCAGGACGTAAGCCCGGACAGGGTGGGGTCCTCTCTGTCCCTTCCGTCTGTGTGCCCCGGGCAAGTTCCTTACCTCTGTCAACTCCTACTGGACGACAGGCAATGATAAGCTTTGATAAACTCATGTTTGAGCCCAGGGCCGAGCGTCACTCCCGGCACAGAGTAGGTGCCTAACAAACACTTAAGTAGACTGAATGCACCTCCCGCCCCACCCGCACCTCTGACGCCAGAGACCACCTCAAATAGCCATGTTCATGGCCCACGTAGGGACTCTAAGTCTCAATCCCCAAACCAGAAGGGCGAGAAATAACCAATCTCCTGTTTTTCAATCACCCTGATCTGGGCGGGCACATTCCTGCCCTGGGAGGTGCAGCAGATGCAGGGCCCAGGTCGGCTCACACCAGCCCCTCTGGTCACTGCTGAGCTGCCTGCTCCTTGGCCTCTGGGACACCTTTTATGTCCCTGCAGGACTCAGGGCTCTGAGGCCTCAAAGCCTGAATGGGGGCCTGGAACCTGTGGCAGGACTGGGTCCCTGGCCCTGGGTTCTGCCTCCCTGCGGGCCCAGAAAACTACCTCTGGTGGGTGTGGCCCCACCTGCCTCTACCTCCCTGCCCATCTTCTCACACACTCCCTGCCCCCAGGGCACCAGCATAATCTCCTTGAAGATCTTGATGATGTTTAAGGCAGCAAACAGGTGGCCTGCAGGCAAATTTTGCCTGAAATGAGACCAGCCCCCACTCTAAACAGGGGAAGGGAGGAATCCCAGGGAGAAGAAGGGGCTGGTTGCTATTTGAATAATGGTCCTGCTCCCTGGAACCGAGCTGCTGGAGGGGCCTGTGCGTCTCCTCACCGCCAGGTTCGGCCTCTCTCTGCAGTTCAAGTGCTGCGGAAGCAACAGCTCTGCCGACTGGCAGCACAGTGCCTACATCCTGTCCCGGGAGGCCGAGGGCCGCCGGGTGCCCGACAGCTGCTGCAAGACGGTGGTAGCGCGCTGCGGCCAGAGGGCCCACCCCTCCAACATCTACAAGGTGGAGGTGAGCACCTTTCTCCAGCTGGGGCCTGCAGAGGGCCCAGCTGGCCATCCAGGGGCCCCCAAAAGGCAAGCTCAGGGCAGACAGGTGGGGAGAGAGGGCCCACTTATTTATTGGCCAGAAAGCAGCAGTGCTGGGCCTTCAAAGGGCCGCACAAAGCAGGGGACGCACACCTGCTACTGAGAGATTCCGGCACATCATGGCCGACCCGGGGTCACCCAAAAGCCTGTGGGCAATGGGAAAGCTGGAACAGGCCCTTTCAGTCTCCGGCCTTCCCTCAGCCAGTCGGATGCAGCACCCGGCCTGCCCTTCCCTCCCATCCTCGCCCACTTCTGGGTCAAGGTGAGTGTGACCTGCTGTTCCCTTACAGGGAGGCTGCATCACCAAACTGGAACAGTTCCTGGCCAACCACCTGCTGCTCATGGGAGCAGTGGGCATCGGGGTGGCCTGCCTGCAGGTGAGTGAGGGGAGGGGCCATAGAAGAGCTCTGAACGCCCCTCCCTCGGGCTGTGATCTCAGACCACTGACCCTTTGCACACGCACACTCTGCCCTGCCCTCCTCTCCCCTTCCCTTCGCAGCCAAAGTTGAGTCACATGGTCACTCTCTTCCCCAGAGACAGGAAGGAAAATGCCTGGGGCCGGGGGGCCAACTTGAACTTGTAAGGAACAGAGACCTGAGAGGAGTGTGAGTGGGCTCAGGTATGTGCATGCACCCGTGTGTGCATGTGCAGGTGTGTGTGCAGCCTGCTGTGGCTGCGGGCCCTGGGTGTGTCCGCATGCATCATGGTGGGGGTTGGATGCATGTGTATGTGTCTAGGTGTGCTTGTGCACGTGTGCGTGTATGTATGTGTGTGTGTGTGCATGACATGCTCTCATTCCTCTGTTATGTGCGTGTGCACACCTGTGGATATGTGCTCCCTGTGTACACCCAGCTCTCTGCTCCGAGCATGAGCCATGCTCTTTGCTCTGGGTCACTACTCCACCCTCCCCCAGCTGCCATCCAGGGAGTTAGTGTTGCTCCCATGAGTCATTCTAGTCACAGGTCAAGATCAGAGGAGACAGGAGTGGCACCCGCAGGGGCAAGGACAGGCTCAGCGAGCAAGGGCCCTGCGTGCCCTCCTCACCTGATACTCCTGCTTCAGCCCAGCCGGTTCTGGAGGGAGCTCAGTCCTGTCCCACCTTCCTGTGCCTGGTCTATAAGCACTGTCCAGGGGAGCGGGGAGAGCAGTGGCTGCCTGTCAGAGGACCTGGGTCCAATCCTGCCGCTGCTTCTGTGCGACCTTGAGCAGTTACTTCCTGGCGCCCCAATGTCATCCTCAAACTATGGATTGTTTCCCCACTGCGTGAGGGCCAGATAAGAACAAGGTGATACGTGGGCGGCAGCAGCACCCGGCACAGGCGAGGGCCTCCATAAGTGGAAACTCTGTGGACTTCAGAGTGACTCAGATACTTTCTCTTAACTGATCCCCACAACCTGAGAGCCAGGCCAGGCGAGTAACAGTGTCCTCCCCGTTTTACAGACCAGAAAGTTGGGACCCAGGGAGGGGACTTACCGAGGGTCTCGTCCTGAACTGCCACCCAGGTCTCCGTGGTCCTTCGCTTTCCCAAACTCCCTCCCAACACAGTTCCATGGAAAGAGAAGCAGGGTGGGTGCGAGGCTAGGGAGCCTCCGTGTGGGTTTCCCCCAGGTCACGGCTGCTGGCCCACGTCAGCCTGAGTGCCAGAGGGTCCAGCTGCAGCCTCACCTGCTGGGCCTGGCCCTCTGGAGGGAGACCGGACAACCGAGGGCTGGTTATTCATCTCGGAGCCCTGGCTCCTCATTTGTGATGTGGGGCTAATTATAGCTGGTTCGTGACCAGTGAGGATCAGCAGTCTATATGTAACCACATGGCTCACTGCCGAGCAGGTAACAGGTGCTCAGGACATGGTCCCCATCATTACTTTTATCATTTACATGTGGCACATTATTTCTCCCAGAAGCCCTGATTGTTCCCTGGACAGACCAGCTGCCCCTTCACCTCCACTCAGGAGCAGGCCCAGGGAGCCCCAGGGGGCAGTCACCTGGCCCCTCGTGTACTTCCCAGGGCAGGCCTGTGCCCCACATACTGAACCCCGGGGGAGTTGCCATAGGGTCTGGGGAAAAGGCTGCTCTGCACTCAGCCCCTGAATCAGCTGTGGTTTCTGGAAACCTGCTGTTTGCGTCAGGTATCGAGGGGACCTGCTCTGCATGGACGCTGGCCAGGCCGGGGCCACGCTCTGTGCCCATTTCTTTCTGGCCTCTCTGGCCTGAGAGCCTGGAGAAGCTGAGACAGGTCAGTGAAGCCATGGGCAGGGAGGGACTGCCAGTGCCCAGAGCCTAAGGGCAAGGTGGCCAAGTGCACCTGCAGGAGTGATGCCCAGGAGGCCAGGTGGCAGGGTGCCTGCAGGCCCACAGGTGCCTCCTGCCCCCTCCACCCCCACCATGAAAGTCTTGGTCCAGCTCACTGTAGAACTACTCCTACAGTCCCCCAGAGAGAGCTTCTCCGGGCCACCTCCATGAACCCCAAGCCCTTGGGCAGTCTCTCCCCTCCATTCCTCTGAGGCTGGCCCTGCAGCAGCCAAGCCTGGGTTACAGCTCCCTCTGCTGGCCAGTGCTGGAACTAAGCTCCCCAAGTCCAGGTCAGCTGCTGGCCTTGAAGGAGGGCTCGCACCAGGCCTGTTCCCAGGTTCACAGTCATCCTCCCGCCGGAGCCGGCACCAGGCCCCTTCCCACACACGCCCAGCCTGGCACTTGGGAGACCCTCAAGGCTCAGGATAGACAAGGCCAAGATGGTGTCATATGCTTCCCTGGTCGGGACTGGAGGAAACCTAGCTTGAAGTCAGAGGTTTTCCTATTGATAGAGGAGGATTTGAGGCTCAGAGAGGGATGTGGCTGTGCCCAAGGCCACACGGCTCCAAATGGAAGTTAGCCCACTCCTACTCCCACCCCCACATTCCCACACGACAAGATAGGAACATGCTGCAGAGCCCGGAAAACTCGCAAGACAGTGAGATTGGACTCTGCAGGTCATTAAGGGGAACCGAGTGGCTTCCTGGGACCTCCTGGTCCTTCCCTGATGCTCTTGGTGACCGCCAGGTGCTGGGTCAGAAACCTCGAAAGAAGCTGAAAGCAGCCGGCTTCTCTGTTAAAAGCCCACGTGTGCCATGTGCTATATCCAGGCCGGCCGTCAGGAGGGGGTGCCATCTCCCACACAGGCTGGGCCCAGCAGCCTGTCATCTGCCATCTCCCGCTCCCGTGGTCAACTTGTGTGTTTTCTCTGCTCACCCTGGTCTGCCGCTGAGTGTGCTGATCTCTGCATGTCCTCTGCCAGGAAGGAGACACAGCTCACTCAGGGATCTGAACGCTCAGTCCATTACTCTTCTGCATGAGTCAGGGTGGGGGTTGTGTGTGTGTGTGTGTGTGTGTGTGCATGCATTGGCGAGATTCTGGCCCGCACACTCCATCCTCGCTGTGCCTTCCCTGGGAGGCACCCTGGGAACACACATCTCATTCAAGAGTGAGCATGCTGGGAGCCCAGCCCTCCCGTCTCCCCCGGCATGAGGTGTAGGAGAGGTAGCCACAAGCCCCTGCTGGTCCACCTGCTCCCTCCGGCTCCCCCCTTAGCAAGGATGAGAAAGACTCAGATAACCACAGGACAGGGCATGCTGCGTGACACCGGGTGTCATGGCTGTGACAACCATCTGCTAACAGCCGGTGGGAGACAAAATAACCTCTTACACCGCCTTTCAGCTGTGGCTCCGAGTACTTGGTGGATTAGCTCTGCTCTGGCACCAAGTCTGGAGCTGAGGGCTGTGTTCACAGGGCCCCACCAGCCTCCCACGTCGGGGTGGAGAGGAGGGAGGAAGGGGAAGAAGAGGGGCATCCTTCACTACCTCCTATGCCAGCCTCGCAAAGAGAGACTGAGCGCCTACCGGCCCGTAGGAGTCCTCACCTGCCTGTCCTCCCGTTGGCAGCAGCTGTTGGAAAGTTTGGGGAAGATGGGGCCTTGCTCCTATATGTGGGGAAGTGCACCTTGGCCCGTGTCCACAGGGTGGCCATCGGGCTGCCCTAGGGCCCCTCTCCCACCGGTGGAGTCAGGATCCAAGGGCCTCATGGTCAGGAGCATGATCACAGCCGTGGCCTCCCTGGTCCAGATATCCTCGCCTTGTCCCTGCATATCCTTGGGTGGGAGGGAGGAGAGGAGGGGTAGAGAGGAAGGAGGCAAGGGAAGGCGGGGGAATAAGGGTCCTCAATAGTGTGGAGACAGGAAAGTGAGACCGGAAAAGGTGACTTCCCAGCACTGCCCTGCTCTGGGCCGATGCTCTAGCCCTGTGGTCGGCAAACTGTGGCTCGCGAGCCACATGCGGCTCTTTGGCCCCTTGAGTGTGGCTCTTCCTAAGCCTTAGGAGTACCCTAATTAAGTTAATAACAATGTACCTACCTATATAGTTTAAGTTTAAAAAATGTGGCTCTCAAAAGAAATTTCAATTGTTGTACTGTTGATATTTGGCTCTGTTGACTAATGAGTTTGCCGACCACTGCTAGCCCCTTCTTGCTCAGCTAGTGGGTGTGACGGGGGCCTGTCAGGCAGGCTCCTAAGGCCTCGTTTGGGGCCACATTCCACGCTGACTTACAGATGAGCTTTTGCCAGCTCTGGGTGCCCCTCCCAGAGCCTCGGTTTCCCCAGGGGCTTCTGTCCATCTGCCAGAATCCACTGTGGTGGCTGGTTTTGCTCTGGTCAGAGCAGCAATGCAGACAGAGAAAGGCTGCTCAGGTAGCAGCCAGCTGCCCCTGGAGAAGCGCTGGGCCGCAGACCAGGCAAGGGCCGAGCTCGTTCGCTAGTAGTGCAGAACCTCGGCCCCACCCACATCGCGGTCCCTGGGTGATTCGTTCCCATCAAAGTGAGAGACGTACTGCTCTGGCAGAGTAGTTCTCAGAGCGTGTTCCCTGGGAGCTTGTCAGAATGGCAGAATCTCAGTACCTCCCTCCCCCACCTCCCACGTGGGAACCTGCCCTTCATCCGGGTCCCAGCTGCGCACTCCATGTGGGAAGCCGCGCTCTGGGCACTGCTGGCCGTACCGCAATGGGGTCCTGATCTCTGCTCTCTCCACCTGGCAGACCTGCGGAATGGTTCTCACCTGCTGCTTGCACCGGAGGCTCCAGCTGCATGTTCACTAACGGCCCATCCTGTCCCCCTCCAACTGCCCCCCACAAGGACAGGGGTCCAAATCCCATCTGCCAGACCCGCAGAGCCAGCATAGCTCATCTAGAAACTCCCAGAAAGTCCCCATCCCTGGTGCCCACCCTTCAGACCCACCAAGTGCTCAAGACCACGGCTCTTAAAGTTCCCACCAGACGGGAACCCTCCATTTCTGAGTGCTCACTGCCAGCCCAGGCGGGGACTGGCCCTGCCAGGGGCAGACAGGAGGCTCCCAAGGACCACAGGAAGGTGAGAGAGTTGGACTCTCTGCTCCCTCCCAGCTCCTGAAACGACATCGAAGGACTACAAACCTTGACCCCTCTGGACCGGGCGTTCAGCATGACCCGATGGGTGCTGAACAGCCCTCTTCTCGCCTCTGCCTAGGTTTGGGGGCCTTGCTCTGGCCTCCCGGAGATGCATCACGGTGGGCAGTTAGGGGTATCTCTGCTCCCAGAAGGCCCAGGCCTCTGATCTGCCTACCCCAAGGCCTTCTCACGGGAGAGGAGTGTCTCCATGGCCTGGCTCCTTCCTGCAGGGCCTGAGAGTGGAGAGAATGAGGTGAGGCCGCTGGGAGCTGGATGTGGGCAGTGGTAGAGGGTGGGGCTTCAGCCAGGGCGCGAGGGGGCTGGGGGCGTAGAGAAGGCGGGGAGTTGGCCCTACCTGCATGTGCTGCAGCAGGAGCCTGCACCGCCTGGAGGCCTTCCCCGGGAGTGGAGCCCTGGGAGAAAGGCCCCGAGCCCCAGCCTCCAGGAATCTCCTGTGTAGGGCCTGATTCTCAGAACGGCCAGGGTTTTAAACCTTTGGGGGTTAATGTGGGCGAGTGTAAAACTCCTCCCGATTGGACCCAATCACAGAGCCTGAAACGCTGGAGCCACTGAAAAGGTAAAGCTCCAAGTCAAGGGGTGCTCTGCCCTGAACCTCACTTGTCCTGTGTCAGGCTCCCTGACCACGAGGCCTTGCTCTGCTCCCGGAGTGAGCACAGTCCCTCCCTCCGGTCCTGCCTCGCTGTCTGAATTGGGCAGGGGATCCTCAGGAAGAACTTCCCGATACTGAGGGAGAACAGAAAGCAAAGCCTAGAAATGCAGTGCAGATGCTGACAGTTTTCCTTCGACAGCCGAAGCCCTCTCCCCCACACCCAGCCCCCTGAGGCTATGACATGGTGCTCCAACAGGAAGACCCCACACCCGCTTCCACACCTGCTCTTCCCGGGTCCTGGGGACCCTCTTCCCGCCCCACCCATGAGAGGTGGGCCCTTGTTATGCTAAAACCAGGGCCAAGGAAGGTCACCTCCTGCCTCCCCACTGGGTCCAGTCCCAGTGTGACAAGCTCAGCTCTGGCTGAGCCGGGTCAGTCCTGGGTGAAGGGTATTCTCTCTCCCATACACAGGTCCCTGCTATCCCCAGCTCAGCCCTCAATTGAGCAGAAGCTGCACACCCTCAGAGCACATTGCCTCCCTGCCTCCCTGCCTCCGGGGCTGGTGGGGACCCTGGCTGGCTTAGCTCCTCCACCCAGAGGGCCTTGGGGTGGCTGAGAAAAATTCATTAGGAGGGAGGCCAGCTTTGCTAGCAACCCCAGGCTGCATCAAGGACAAAAGAAACGGTGGTGTGGTCATCTTTGCTGCCCTCCAGCTTCCCGGGACTCATGCAGATAGATAAAAGGTGACGGTGAGGCCAAGCTCTTTGCAGGGACAGAAGTCAGACGACAGGTCTCACAGGGAGAGAGAGAGAGAGAGAGAGAGAGAGAGAGAGAGAGAGAGAGAGAGGAGAGAGAGAGAGCTCTTCCTGCCAGGGCCGAGGGAGGCGGCAGTGGGAGGGGTGTTGGCCTGTTACATGCCTGCCCCTCCTGGGTCCCTTCACTTTCCTGAGGTGCCCCAGCCTGTGCAGATGGGGATGGGGTGCCGGGCCTTGTCACTGGGGGAGACCCTGGAGAGCTGACTTCCTGCCCCACCTCCTGTGCTGACGAGGCAGAGGCTGGGGGAGCTGTGGCTCCTGTGCTGGGCATCGTCTTGGGAGCACTTCCGAGGAACCGGGCTGGTCCAAGCCGCAGAGGGACAGAGCAGCCCAGAATTTTGGGGACTGGGACCTCTTTGTTCATGCCTACGGCCTGGGAGATGAGACATGATGACAGGAAACTGAGGCCCAGGGCATGGCAGGTTCCCCAAGGGGCGCCCTGAAGGCTGGAGTCAGAGCTGGGGTGCTGGTCCCGCCTGTGAGCATGCAGATCTGTGCCAGGATGGCTCCCCCAGGTCCCTGCTCTGAGGCCGGCAAGGCCCTGAGTTCCCGGAGAGAGAAGGCGTGCCTGGTGAGGGCCATCGCAGTCCTGCGGGGGCAACAGGCGCTGGCACACAGGTCCAGAAAAGAGGCCAGCACACCCACACCTCGATCTCACCAAGCGGCCCTTCCCTCCCTCAGCTCATAGGAACACCCCTCCCAGAGGGAGTGCTGCACCCCAACTCCCTGGATGACCTGTGTTTGGGGAGACAGGAGTGTAACGGCCTTTGGTGAGGGGATGAAGTCTTGTTTAAAATATTTGCGACCATCCTTCTCTTTCTCCCTCCCCCTCCCAGCTCCAGGAGCTCCTCAGGCATAGCCATGGGGGGAGGGGGGGCCAGGGCCTTGTGTTTACTGAAGGCCTACTGTGTGCTTAGAATGTGTTAGTCACGTAGACACACCATCTCGTAGGGACCGAGGTACGAGGGTATATTCCCCCCACTTCAGAGTCAGCAGCAGTGGCTGCCGTCACGCCACCCCTCTCCCGAGCGCCCCCAGTTCTCCATCTCTAATAAACCGCTAAGCTGGCATTCAGGAGCAGCATGGCCTGTGGGGTGTTGTGGAGCCTCGGCAGCCTCACACCCCCTCCCCGGTTGGGCGGGACCACCATCAGCCCCAGCGCTAGAGCCCTGCTCTATGCGGTTGGAAGAGAAGAGTGGCTCCTTTGGGCTGACAGGGGACCCCCGCCCCCGGCAGAGTGTCTCACAGGAGCCTGGGGCCATGGCTCAGGGGCGCCTGGCCTGCCACCTCCGGAGCCAACGCTGACACCAGAGTGAGGGTGACCGCCCTCAGCACTCAGAATCCCCACGCAGATGTGAACGCTCATGCGGCGTGGAGACAGTGGTCTGGGCATGGAGGCCTGGCCAGGTGGCAGGAAACGCCTCTCCCGCCCGCCCATGCGGCCTCACGCATCACAGAGCTGCCGGGGCAGGGAGGAGGTGCCCGGCTGGTGGAGCTGACTGCCTCCTGCCTGCCTTCCCTCCCCTCTGTGGCCGATACCGGGCTCTGGGTGGGCACAGTGTGAGCTGTCTCAGGCCTAGAATCTCATCAGGCTGCCGCCCAGTGCACGGCCCCAGGCCTGGCCCTGAGGAGGGGTGGGGTGACATGCAGGGCGATGTGCCTCCAAGATCCTCATGCCCCACGGCCACTGTTGGTCTTGGGATCTGCCACTTCCGGTCCATCTTCAGGGGTTCAAGGTGGGGGGTGTGAATGAAAAGTTACTTTCACCACCACCCACCCTGCTATCAGCCCTGAAAACACTCTCCTTACTGGCCACTTTGGGCTGGGGACAGAACTGGAGAAGGGGAGGTGGTTTGATGGCTAAGGAGAACCCCACATTTTGTGTCACCACTGGGTGGCGCTCACATCTGCCAAGGATGCTAGTGATCGAACTTGAGCTTGCATGAGGGTCGCCTGCGGGGCACCTGGAGGGTTTTTAGCAGATTACTGCCCCCTCTTTCCTCTCCCCCTCCCCCATCTTCAGATCAGAGGGTGGAGCCAAGGATTTGTGTCTCTAGTTCCCAGGTGATGTGGGTGCTGCTGACCTGGGGTTGCACCTGGAGAGCCACTGCTTTCGACCACAGCCCTGAACCACCTTGTGTGCCACAGCCCCGGGGCTCAGTCCCCTCCGGGTGTGAGGCTTGGGTCCCACTCTGTGAAACAGGCGGCTGTGGGCAGTTCACCGCCAGCCAGGACCGTGCCTCCCTGCGTGCGTTCCTGCAGCACCTGCCCCACCTCCGCTTGGATTGAGGGGCCGCCTGAGCCCCTCTGTGACCCCGGCTGGCAGAGCAGTGCCGGGTCCTCTTCCCTGAAGGGAACAGGTCCACAGTCCAGTCCCCTTTCCCACCCGCTCCGGCCCCACGCCACTCTCGTCGCCCCTTCTCTCTTCCAGCACAGTGCTAGGCCTGTGCCCCTCCCGCGGCCTCCCGCGTCCCCTCTTCCCCGCCGCGTGAGCACCACAGACACCCGTGCCAGCGCCACAAGTCTGTCCAGGCAGCCAGTTCCTCCTGAGGCCAGACAGGCTCCTGGGGATCTGGAACTGGCGGTCCTGGATATGGGCTGTCACAATACTCTAGAGACAGGGAAGTCGCCTGACTCTATCACATACAGAGAAACTGCTCTCCCCGTAAACAGCCCCTCCACCGCTGGTCTCCGTGTAAGCCAGCCTCGGGGCCAGGGGGCACAATAATAAAGGAGCTGCATCTGGAACTACCTGCTGCTGCTGTTTTTCCTCCCCTGCAGGGAATTCCATCAGGTGTGTGTGTGGGGGGGGGGGGAGGCTGGTAGGAGCACCTTGACTGTTTGCACGGACCTCACCTCCATGGGCGTCACTACTCCTGGTGGTGAGCGAGAACCAGGCTCTCACAAGTGTGCTTGAGTTGTGTTCCCCTTAAGTCGCCTTTGGGCAGCCGGGACTGCCACATTTCTGACTGTGATGCCCAGCAGCCCCTGTTACGAGCCTGCGGTCTGCCCGTCCTGCTGTGGGCATCACCCTGGCGGGCTGCAGCCGATGCAGGGTGTGCGGAGAGGGCAGGGCAGGGGCACTTCAAGCTGAGGCACACCTTCTACTGCTCCCTGCCCCCCCCCCCTCCCCGCAGAGTGCTAGTGTCTCCCCCCTCCTCCCCGACCACTCATTTGTCCTCCTCCCCAAACTAGAGTAAGGCACTCCTCACCCCAATGCAAAAAGACGTCCATCCATGATTCAGAGGGCCTGAGCGCACTAGGATGCCCGCCCAGTAAGGAGCGAAAGAAAGTAAATGCTTGTCTTTTATGACATAAAACATTCATTCCGTTTCATTCACTATTCTGTCTAGAAAACTTGCTTAAGGTGGGGTGGGTCCATGAGGGAGCCTGAAGAGCACCCGGGTAAGCTGGATGCTGGGGACCCCGCGACAGAGGGACTGGGGGGCAGGCTGGGCGGGGGTGGGGGGTGGGGGCTGCCTGGCAGGGATCCGCATCCCTGGCCTCCTCCTGTGTCTCCTGGCCAGTTGGTCAAGACCATTCACTGAACAGTCACAGTGGCAGCCTCCCTGGCTTTGATATCAGGCCGGGGGACGGGCCCAGTCTGGGCGCCCCTGGTCACCCCTCTCACAGGATGTCTGCTCACCTGCACCATCACTGAGTGTGAGAGGGTGAGACCCCTCCAGGCCCCTTCCTGCCACACACAGCACTGTGGGTGCTGCCCATGCCGCCCCAGGGCCATGGCGCCGGTGGGGCCTGGTCAGGATGGGGGCAGTGGGAGCCTTTGTGGAAGCTGTCTCCCTGGTGGCTGCCCCTGGCCTGTCGGCTGCCACTACTTGCTGGCAGGAGATAATGCCTCTGTCAGCAGGGTGGGCTGCTTCAAGCTGGTGGGACTTGGTTCCCACTTCCTGTCCCCAGCTGAGAACAGAGAGGCTGCCCATGGGTTAAAGGGACACACAGGGATAAAAGCTGAGATTCGTCTTCTCCTCCTCCCCCTCCCCTCCCCCTCCTCCTCCTCCTCCTCTTCTCCTTCCCTTTCTTTCTTTCTTCTTTTAGTTTTCAATCAAGCTTTTAATGAAAAGATCATAAAATAACTTTTTCTCCTGTGATAGAAAAGTAATTCACTTACTTTCTTCTTAAAAACAAATCCATGAGAAGCCCCTACTTCCATCACTGGCTGAAACCCTGTCCAGCAGTGACTGAGTAGGAAGGATGGGGCACTGCAGTGGAACCCAGTGGGACCCTTTGGCTCAGTCCAGGGGTGAAGAGGGCAGTGAATTAATCTTGAATCTGGCCCTTTCCATCAGCCAGGTGCAAACCATGTCATGCACCAAGGCTGGAACAGGCCGGCCAGAGCCCCGTTAGCCTAGGCACTCCCTGAAGAGGTGAGGAACAGTTTCATGAGGGGCTCGATCCCTGATTGGAATTTGGAGAACGCCACATTGGGAACCAGAGGTCAGATTCAACATTCTCTCCCTGAGTTGCCAACCAGTAAAATAAGAAGGCTGCGTCCTCTCTAGAACTGGGGTCCCTTGACAGAGAAAAAGAAATATATTACAAATCTATTGAGGTTGCAGGAATTGGGGGGTGGGGGCGAGGAGGGGGAGTTAGGGCAGAGGAGGGAGACAAAGGTAAGGGGCTTCCTGCTGCCATCAAATGGCAGAGCATGGTCCTCTTGCCCGCCTGGCGGGTCGGCCCTGCTTGGGACAATGGTGAGGCTAGGTCCCAGAACTCTGCAGCCGCCAGAAGAGAAACCTCTGGGCAACACACTCTACCAGCCAGACCCACCACAGACCACCAGGTGGCCTTGCTCTTCCAGTCCCTGTTCTCTGCATCACGATCACCAGAGGAACCTGGGCACTGCCCAGGTGTGCCCCAGGGACAGTCAGCTACCTATCACTCTCCAGGCCCACAGGGGGAAATTCCGGCTTCAGCCGGAGGGCCTAGCTCGAGTGTGTCCTGTGGATGTGGCTTTTCTTTTTGTCGGGTTAAGGAGGCGCAGTAGTCCATCTCACGGCTGTCATTAAACTCAGCATAATGAGATGGCTAAATCAATAGCCTCCCAATCTTTACTGACTGCTTTAAGAAGGGGCCATTGCAATGCCGATATTTTTGTGCCCCAATCGACATTCATTTAATCTGACTTCCCTCTTGCGTCTGTGAATTACTATGCTCTACAACCAGCCCAGAGCAAAACTTGGAGACACGTCCTGCAACTCTCCTTTCCATAGCTCACTCCCCTCCCAGATCCCTGCCCTGGGACCCAGCTTTCAGCAGGGGCCCTGCTTCTCCTTGGGGACCCTAAGCCCCAAATTTGACCACTTCCTTGCCAAGCACCTCCCTTGGCCCAGGAACAGGCTGGGTGTCTTTCCATACATGCCTCTATTTAGTCTTCACAGCAAATCTGTAAAATAGGTGTCATCCTCATTCTGCAGATGACGAAACCAAGACAAATTCAATGACTACAAGGCTCCTGAGGACACCAGCTGCGGAGGGGGAATTTGCCCAGGCCCTCCAGCCCCCACCAGCACGTTCCCACCCAGACCTGTACAGTGACCGCTGATAGCAGTCATGGTCAGGACAAGCCTAGACAACGCCTGTGAAAGCATTGTGAGGCTGTGATGCTCAAAACAAAAGGAGAGATAGCTGCACGTGCCGGCCTCTGCCGTCTCCTGCCCGTGAGCAGTGAGCCTAGAAAACACTCACCTGCATTTGGTGCAAACCATTCGTCAGCTCCAGCGCAGGGCGAGGGCCGGCATGCTGGATGAGCGGCAAGAAGGCGCTTTCCCCCACAGTAAGTCTGTCAGTCACCGGGCTCATCACTTCTCCTGGGGTCTCTCAAACCTGTTCTTTCCTCCGTCCCACCGGTGTTGCTCGAGGGCTGTGCCATCTCTCACCTAAATCACCTGCACAGCCTCTCCGAGGTCCCTGCACCCATGCTGTCCCCTCAGCCACAGCGATGGTTCTCGAGGCCGGTCTGAGCCGGCACATGGGCTTCCAGCCTCTCAGCAGTTCCCTGTGCTCTTGGCTTAAAGCTCACCCCTTCACCGGTGTGCCCGCCCCAATGACATCGACAGGACACCCCTCCCTGCCACGTCAGCTCCTCCCACTTCAGCTCTCAGCTCCACATCGGAGATGGGATCAGCGACTCTCCACCCAGAGAACATCAGCATCGGAGCCTGAGGTGCAATCCCATTGACTCTGTGGGCCTCTGTGAGCCACAGGGACCAGTCTGGCTGTTCACCACTGTATTCAAGCTGCTTGGCACAAGTTAGTGTTCGAGTCTTTGTGTGATAATGTCTTATCTGTGCGAGCCCTGGATGAGCTGTTTTGAGGAAGTTCTCATACATACCAAGCCAGCTCCTCTGTGGCTCACAAACCATCCTTTCTCACTTGCCCTTCGCTGGACGCTGATGGGAGGCAGCTATCCCACCTCCTCACACAAGAATGGGGGAGCAAGAGGTCCTCCAGGGTCATCTCAGACACCCATGCCATGGGCTGAAGAGCCCAGAACCCATCCCAGAAGGCCCTTACCTAGTGTTAGAAGTCTCCAGAGGAGAAGATGCCCAGCCCTGTCCTCCCGCTGACATCCCCTCTCCTGCCTGGCCAGGTGGCCCGCCTTTCACTGCTTAATCTGACTGGAGCCCAGTGCTCACAGAACAATCCGTGTGTCCCAGTGCCCTGGGTGCCAATGGACTTCACTCTGTCCCTCAGAGAAGACAGCGCAGGGACACGGGGGCATCCCAGTAGGTGTGTCCACAGGCTGCGGGGCAGGAGTGAGAGCAAGAATGGGCAGAGGAAGTGGCTCCCACCCACTTTCTATGCCTCGGTTGGTCCTCAGAGGATGGAGGGTCACCCTTCCCTGAGCCATGACCATCTCCTGACCCCACAGCCACAAGGTCTCCTTGCACCTTTGACAGAGGGTCACCTCAGACGCCTCAGTCAATCCTCAGCAAATCCCTGCAGGTGCTGGGACACAGCAGCTGCAGGAAGGCTCCCAAGGTTGATGCTCTGGGACAATCCCATGCCAACCTGGCCTCTGCCTGAGGAGGCGGGAGCCAGACCTCCGCACACGAGGGCTGAGAGATGCGGCTCCCGCTCCCATCAAACCCACGCTGCACATTCGCCTTCATTCCCGCCCCGGCCCAGCCTGGTACCCGAGCTGCAACGATGGCCCAGGGCAGGGTGAGTCTGAGCTTCTCACCCCACCTTGTCACTGTGACTACAGCAGCCAAGGAGGCTGGGAGGCTTCCCTGCAGTGAGGTGGCACAGCCAGTGGTTTTCAGTGCCTCCCTCCTCCCCGCTGACCATCTCGTACTGACTGGTGCTTCTGTGCCCAGTAGAGCCAGCTCAGAGCCACCTAAGGGAGTGCAGCCCAGGCAAAGCCACCCGCAAGGTCCCCTCACTCCTGGCTCCCATGAGCCCCAGGGTCATCAGGGGGGTTGGGGAGAAACTGCACCTAAAGCTGCATCCCTGCCCCACAGGAGGCCAAGAGTGGCTTGTCGCTGCCCTTCTCCCAGCGCACTAAGGGCCTGGCCCACAGGCTGGTGGACTGGACGGGACAAACACATAGGTGGGGTCGGCCTCTCATGCAGAGGGCCCCCACCAAACCCGCCTCAGGTCACCAGGCAAAGGAGGTGTTAGGATTCCTCAAGCACCCACAGAAGGACCCCCCACTCCCCTAAGCCAGCAGATCTGTAACCTGGGCTTGAGGGGAGATGAGTTCCTAGCTGCAGGGTGTGTCTTGGACAGAGAGTAGGG